CTCAGCAGCTTCCTGGATCTTGAAGAGTAGTTACTAAAGCTAGCCACTTAATCTGATTCCCAAATCCCTGGATTACAACGCAGGCATCCATGCTCCGCCTTCCCAGGGTTGCAGAGCATCTGTGGCGGCAAAAGCAGCTCACCTGGCTCAGCAGCTTCTCCACAACATGCGCACTTACTGTATGAATCATCTGAGGAGGCTGAGCCTAGGATCAATTCTTGGGGGGTGAGGGGGCTTCCAATAGTCACATATGCACCTCACTTACTCTATTATAATTCCTTTATCTTTAGAGTATGTAGAAGAGTTCTCTTCCCTCCTCTTCCTCCTGGCAGTAATGAGGACTGAATTTAGGACTTCATGCTTACAAGGCACTATTGCAATCACTCAGCCACACCTCCAGTCTGTTGGCTCCGAGTTTGTTTATAAGATAGGGTCTGGTACTTTGGCCAGTGCTGGCCTTGGACTGAGATCCTCTTCCCTACAACCTTCTGAGTAGCTGGGATTACAGTTATGAACTGCTGCACGGAGTGAGTTTATTTCTTCATTTATTGAGATAGGGTTTCATTATGGTATGCAAGCACAATCCTCCTGTCAGCACGCACCGCCTGTGCCACTACTCATGGCTAGCTTCTGATTCTTGGACACAGTATTTGGTACTTGAAGTGGGTGAAGGAAACAGACTCTCAAACTGTTAAATATGGAACTAGGGTTAAATCACTGATTCCTCTGGAATAATGGAATCCCATTAGCACAGAAGAACAAAACAATTACTTAAATTGCCTAGTAATTTATGAAATGAGTGCCTGGAACGAAGCTTATCAAACTGTGGGAGAGACCACCGTGATGGAAACAAGCAACCACACTGCTTCAGCCTGAAAGGATGATGAAAGTTCCGTTGTCTGCAGTATCGGTTGAAGGCACAGTCGGAGGATGGCCACCGAGCCTTCACTAGGGCAATCTCACTGCTCACAGCTGCATGGCTCCCCAGGCTGGTGGGCAGGTAGAGACGGCTGCTGTGAGCCGCTCAACTTAAGTGCAGGGGAGAAGTTCTACCTAGAGTCTCCATGCTCTCTGTTGTGAAAGTCAGGGCACTGCTGTAGAAAGCAACTGTCTGGGTAGATTCTCAGCGTGGGATGTGTCCATCTTTTAACTTTGTTCTTTTCCAACATCAACATTGCACTGGCTACTGTGATAGCTTTGCCCCTCCAGGCACACTTTAGAATCCATTTGTTGATATCCATAAAACAATTTTGAGATTTTAAGAAGAGCGCATGGAATCTATCGATCAAAACAGGAAAAAATCATCTCCGCACTTGGGAAGACACAAATACTAAGAAGTTTCCTGTCTGGGAGATTTTGTTCTGGCTGAAGAAGTGGGTCCTTGCTTCCCTGGGGGGTCATGTATCAACCCATATTTTACCAGGAAATGAAATGATTCTAGTCTACCACCCTCTTCCCACCCACACACTCTCATCCACAGTATGGAAAGAGAGTCAGAATATAGCTATCCCAACACACCCTAGGAGGCAAGGTGAAGTCTGACCCTGGAGGGAAAAACACTTGCCAAAAGAAGTGTAAAATATCACCCATTTGTTGTTGTTGGTAGATTTGCCAGATTAAAAAAAATAAGACAGCAGATTAAACTGGAGATACATGATAAATAACTGTTGGTGTGAATGCATACCAAATACTGTCTTGTTAATATTAAAAATGTATTCATGTTGATCTGAAATATAAATTTAACTAGTTTGTCCTATACTCCTCCTTCTCACCAACTCCTCCCCCAATCTAACAACATTTGTCATCAAAAATCTGGGAAAGTGGAATGGATCTTAAAGGTGTAGGGTGGGAAAGAAAGTGCTACATTAGATTTGTAACAAAATCGACAGTTTATCCATTTGACTATGCTAAAGCAAAGCATGTGGAGGCACTCTTTCACAGTGGTCCCCAAAAGGAAGTCCTCAAGCCAACAGACACAGTGTCACTTGGAAACTGATGAGGAATGCCAATTATCCAGCCTCTGCCTTAGACCTGTTGAATTAGGAACTCCAGGCTGGGTCCCAGCACCTTGATTGTAATGAGGTCTCCATGTTTTCTTGAGGAAAGTCCTTGAACACTTCAGAGAGCACTTTTCCCTAATCTTCTGCACTGGGACTTTTACTAGACTAAGTATGCACAGAGGAAAGGGACATACCTAGACATTAAAAAACAACAATAACAACAAAAAACAACGGAGCCACAGCTCCAATTCCGACTTCGTGCTAGTTACTTGGACGTAAGATTCTGGACATAAGAGTTTTCTGCCAGAGCTGGCTTCCAACAGTGATCCTCAGATCTTAGCCTTCTGAGTAGCTAGGATTACAGGTATGCGCCACTGGTGCCTGGTCAGTCATAACATCTTAAACTTGGCTGAACTCCCTGAGGGAAAACAAAAAGTGTGCATACCCCCGAACCTGAGCTCCTCTGGAGATGTGGTCCTTCAGACCCCTGCCCACAGCCTGGGCCCCTCTGGAGATGTGGAGATGTGGACCCTTCAGACCCCCACCCACAGCCTGGGCCCCTCTGGAGATGTGGAGATGTGGGCCCTTCAGACCCCCACCCACAGCCTGGGCCCCTCTGGAGATGTGGAGATGTGGGCCCTCAGACTTTTCTGCCATGTGCTTCCAGCACCTTGTCTGTTACAGTTCAAGTGTTCCCCCCTCTGCCCTGGCTTCGGTGGCCTGCACTTTCCCCTTGTCTCTGTCCTGATAGCCACCACTTTGCTGCCCCACTTCTCAGTCTCTCCAGGGGTTGGGGCAGACATTTGCTCTGTGTCCTTGCTTCTCCAAGGAGAGTTTCTGGCTTCTCTTCGCTCAGCTCCTGTCTTGCCCAGGGCAGTGTTGGTATCTAAGCTCCTTCCATGTATACTGGGAAGCAGGGAGTTAGTTCTGGCTCTGAGATGCCTGGGGACCCAAAATGTGTCTATGTTCTGCACCAATCTGAGAGGAGGCTTTAGGACATGAAACTCAGATCCGGCAGACAGACAAAACTACCTGTGGGATTTCCTTTTGCTTTCTAAAAGCAGACCTCTGGCAATTGGCAGAATCTCTACATTGGGTTTCTGATCCTTGCAAAGATCCACAGAGATGGGTTAGATTCCCATCCCCAGTTCACCTCCACATCTGGCTTGGACTTCAGAAGGGAGTAGAAGGTCACAGTGAACTTAACCAGGTATCCACATCTGTCATGGTAAACTTAACACAGATATCCACATGTGTCCTAGTTCCTGGCACCTGACAGGCATTCACTGAACCAGAAAATGCTTTTTATCTCTACCCCAATAAGCAGAGGCCACCTTCAGAAGTCATCTGGCAGGGATGCTGGTATACAACCACTGCCATCTAAGGATATAAACCTCCCTGGCTTTCATAATCCCAGAGGATATTGTATGGATGACTCTGGGCTGGTTGTACCTATAGAGCTTCAGGCAAGAGAAAAGCCTTGATAAGTGATGTGCATGCCAAAGAGAGAGAGGAAGAATCCACGAGAGAGAATTCATCCACCTGCCATCTCCAGGAAGCTTCTAAGGGTCCTAGGGCCTGGGTACTTTATAGACATTCTCTCCCTATCAAAGGCAAATTGCGGAACTTCCCATGACTAACATGGGATCCAAAGTCTGCTCAGCTTCTTCGGTTTTGCAGAGTATCTGATACTGAATCTGATATGAGCAGGGCCCAGATGGAGGCAGGATGGACTAACTGCTCCAAACTGAAGCCACACAGGCCTCTGCTCTGGGGGTAAAGCACCGACAGGAGGTTCGAAGGCCTCAGAGCCCATGAAGCCCCTTCCAGGTCGGGCCTTCAGAGCTTTGTAGCAAAGCCATGTGATGTTCAGATGACATCTATTTTTGTTTGGAAAAAATTGCTGGGTTACCTCTGAAAACTGAGATGCTGGCCACAGACAATCCAGCCACCTCCACACACACAAAGGGATGCTATCTAGGGTGCCTGGCTAGAAAGCTGGACTAGCATCAGGACACTCCGTTCTCAAATGGAGGTGATCTAGCCAGTCATTTGAAGTGGGCAGGTAGGCTGCAGTCACGGAGGGTCACGGCAGCCAGCCAGCGCACCAGCTCTCTCTCCTCCACCACCACTGCTCTGATTTCTCCTTAAATTTTATCTCTGAGCCTGGGGGAGATTCTTATGACCAGCTGGCAGAGAAAGAAAAAAAAAATCCAGCTTGGCTTAGCAATGGCTCCTCATGCTGATACCAGCTGGAAGTGATCTGCCAAGTTCTCGCTCCACAAAGGGATGACCTTGACAGGAAAGGGTCAAACTCTGAGCAGCCCATCCATCTGATTTTCTAATCTGTCACAGTTGAAAGATCCAAGACATAGGAGCTACACCAAGGCATAGGTAGCTCTGGATTGGCTTGGATGATAAAGGACATGGAAAATTAAAACCAAAGGATTTAATTTAAGGGTATTAGACAGTGCTTGCAGAATGGATAATTAGCCTGAGGCAATCTTCATCCACATGTAAATCATGTAGCATGCACAACACACCAGCTTAGGTATCAGGGAATGGCACAGACAGAGGTGTGACCTTGGAGATGGAGGTTGAGCTGCAGGCTGCAGAGCACAAGTTCCACCCCCCCTCTGGGGACAGGCCAACCCTGGCTTCCAAGTCCAGCCAGTGGTGGCCATCATTGCACCACAGCCTTGGGACACCAGCCAAGACTGAGGCAGGGATGGAGGACTGCTCCTTGGGAGAACAAGAGCAAGCTGCCTGCACTGTGGTCCAGCGATCGGAGGCGTGGCATGAGTGTCAATGCTCACAGGGCTCTGCCAGCACCACCACGTGTGGACTGTCTCAGCATCACCACGGAGCCCCGCACGACGCAGCCCCTGCTCCACCTCACCGTCCTGCAGGTGCCGAGACACAAGACCCGCCCCACAGGACTTGTTGGCCTCACCCGGGACCCACAAGCCAGCCACGTTTCCATCCCGTTGCTCCACCTACCGAGCAAGTTAATCACTCCATCGTTGTAGCAAGCAAACAGTTTGATAAGATCTTTGAAAAGAAGCATAAATGCAGCATTGATGACTCCATTTGTTAGTTCGTTTGGGTGCACCTAGAAAAAAAAGAGGAACACTGACTTTTAGGTGGGTATCATCCAATGGGTATTTCCTCCCAAATCACATGAAAATGTCTCAAATGCTAAGAAATTTGCTTATGTTCTACAAATGTTGAGTAACTCTTAGCGTAGGCTTAATGATATAAAAGATGGGTTGCCTTCGGGGCTGGGAAGGTGGCTCAGTGGTAGAGCGCTTGCCTTGCATGCATGAGGCCCTGGGTTCGATTCCTCAGCACCACATAAGCAAAAAGAAAAAAGCCGGAAGTGACGCTGTGGCTCAAGAGGTAGAGCACTAGCCTTGAGCTGAAGAGCTGAGGGACAGTGCCCAGGCCCAGAGTTCAGGCCCCACGACCGGACCCCCCCGCCCCAAAAAAAAAAAAAAAAAAAAAGACGAGTTACCTGTGTGTTGGCTTCAATTTAGGTCAATGAAGTTAGGCCCATGCATTAAAAGACTTAGGTTCATTCTGGTTGGCCAGTGATCCATAGGGCAGACAAAGACAGCTTTTGAACAGCTGGTCTCTTGTTAAATTTACAATGTGATATTCCCCCTATCTAACCGTGTCCGTGAATGCACACAGGCCCTGGGAACCTGCAGCGACCTCCATGAACGAAGAGCAGGGGTGTGAGGACCCCTGGGTGGCATGTCACTGCAGGGCTGAGGGCCAGAGCTATTCTCTCACCCACCTCAACACCAGCCCGAAAGCTGTACTTGCTCCCTGCTCCCTCAGCCTTGTTTATAGCTCCTCAGTCTGTTTTTCCCCCCTTTGTGACTTTTGTCCTTTAACTCTGAACCCTTACTAAGGTCAAAGAAAACAAAGGAAATACATGACTAAGAAGCAAAAAAAGATAAGAAAAGCAATTCATAGAAACTAAGAAAGTCCTTACTATACAATCTGCCAAGAAACAATAAAATAGATTTCTACTTCTACTGAACTCTCACAAGAGTTAAATGTTAGGACTAAAACTCAATTATAGGCTAAACAATATAATCTCATGAAAGACGTTAAGCTACTAATATTTAAAGAAAGTGTTTTAGGCAACCACCAAAATAAAGAAAAGCTGACAACGTAAGTTAAGAATTTCCCTACAAGTTAAGTGGATTTTATTTTTGTGGGTCAGATTCTTTTAATTTTGAGGTAACTGTAAATTTCTATGCAATTTTTTTCCTTTTCTTTTGTTTCCATTTCCTGGAGTTTGTTTCCATATTATTTTGTATGATCAGATGCACATAGGCATTGCGCCTTTGTTTTATATGCAGTTAGAAGGTATCAATACAGGGAAGTCATTTCTCTTGAGGGGGATATCATGGAACACCTTTACAAAAACTGTACTTTTAGAACACCATAGCTGATCCTACCACAACCAGGACATAAACAGAATGACCCTGTCAGCCACTTGCATTCTGATCTTCTAGCTTTACTTGTATTCATTTCTATTTAGTTCTATCTGGTTTGCTCATGTAGATTAGTGTATTCACTATCAAAGCCCAGCATAGGCCTTGCTTTAAGAGACAAAACTCACAGCCAGTGCTAAGATAAAGAAACTTTGGTGCCTAGTGTTATATGACACAGCCTCTACCAGCAGGCCCAGGTAGTTAGTGACCTTCAGATACTGCATCCTGCAAGCAACATCCTGCTCAGAGCAGGGGGTTTCCAAGGATATCAGCTCAGGAACACCGCACTGATCCTTTCCCTGTCACTTTCGTATGCACCTTGTACACTGCTGGCAAAATCTGAGGGACCAGGATTCACCTAATTCATCTCACCCGGGGAGCCTGTGGTGGCTTTCTGAGCTGTAGGCCACCACCCGAAGAAAGTCACAAGCGACTTCTGGGGAGATACATACGTCAAATTCCAGCAGTGCATCAATCTGTCCCTGCAGTATCGGCATGCTCTTCAGCAGCTTCTCTGGAGCCATCGTTCTCATGACGCCATCAGCTCTGTGAGATTGATGCAAACCAAAGAGAAAGAGGAAGCGAAAGATGAAGCGTCCTTGCAGGTAGGAAATTCAAGATCTCATTCACGGTCCTAAGCTGGGCCCCTCCTCCATCCCCCGCCAATCTTGCAGGAAGGATGTGAGGTATCGAGAGATTGGGGGAGGGGTGCTGTTTCCTGTCTAGACTCTGAGTCCTCTTATGTTTTCTGGATGCTCAACCCCACAGGCTATGCCTGCTCCCATCAGCACCACACATGGGGAGAAAGTGAAGCAGACTGAATGGAGTGAAACAAACAAGAAATCTATGTGGGTGCTGGCTGATCACGCTTGTAATTCTAGCTGCACGGAAGGCTGAGATTGTTGGAATTGCTGATTGCAGCCAGCCTGAGCAGAAGAGGTTCAAAAGATCCTTTCATGAGAAGGGATCTTCTGGAAGGGGTGGTGTGCACCTGTTACCCTGGCTCCTAGGAAACCTAGCACGAGCGGACCACACCCATTGTGCACCTAGGCAGGAGATGAGACCCTATTTTAAAAGCAATGAGCAAAATATCAGGGCTGGAGGCACGGTTCAACAGTAAAAGCACCTGCTTAGGAAGAGCAAGGCCCTGAATTCTTTTTTATCCCAGTACTTCCAAAACAGAAGTAAGAATGGTAAAAATGTAAGTTTTCTGAAAAGTCAATTAGTTTGTTTAGGAAATCATGCCTTCAAAGTCTACAAAATGTATCGAAGTGGGAGCAGAGCTTGTGTTATTAATCACCTCCTATGACAATGCTATCATATATAGTTTGCCCAAACAAAGATAGGAGACACGAGAGGCTGGCATTGGAGGCTTTTATATCCGGTCCCCCCACCGACAGAGCTCTCAGGGAGACTCTGTGTCCAGTGATGCCTGTGGGGGAGGCAGTACTGCGGACATCATATGTGCCCAGTGATGCAGGTGGGCTGGTGAGGCTGCCCCGTGGCTAGGAATGCATCCCAGAGTGTCCTCCAAGGTCCACACAGGAGGCAGAGGTCTCGAAGAGCCCGAGGCTGCAGTGGACATGAACAATGGTGGCCACAGCCATGGGAGAATCCAGAGGAAGGCCTGTGACCCAGAATCACTGCTAATGTGGAAGGGATGGAAGGGGAACAAACCCTAATTTCATGAGGCATTCACCCACAGGAGCCTGGTTTACTTTGAATAGGTAAGTTGATATTTTTCACCACCATAATGGAAAAAGTGGTCCCAAGTTAAAGTCAGGTCATGGTTCATGTGAGTTCTTAAAACTAAAACACTCCATTTTCTGCAACATTTAGCCAGTATTTTAGACAGACAATCAGCACAAACTTCGGTTGAACACTTCCAACAAGATTCTAACATCTATTTAGAGGGAAATAAATGGCAATTAGGATTAAAAATTGAGGGTTTCTGTTTCAATGAGGTTTTTATAACCAAGAGATAGTATTTTAATCAGCTGTACGTGTGTGTGTGTGTGTGTGTGTGTGTGTGTGTGTGTGTGTGTGTGTGTGTGTGTGTGTGTGTGTGTGTGTGTGTGTGTGTGTGTGTGTGTGTGTGTGTGTGTGTGTGTGTGTGTGTGTGTGTGTGTGTGTGTGTGTGTGTGTGTAGCATTCCCACATCATAGGGGTTCCATTTTTAGCTCAAACAAAATACTCTTCTTCATAATCAATATACTTTTTGGGGGTAGGGGAATGGTGTATTACTGGGGCTTGAAAATCAGGACTTTGCTCATACTCTCACTTGTTTTTTACTTCAAGGCTGGGACTCTACCACTCAAGCCACACTTCTGTTTCTCACTGTTGATTAATTGGAGAAAAGACTTCTCTGCCTGGGCTGGCTTTGAACCTTGGTCCTCAGCCCCCTGAGTAGCTAGGATGACAGGCATGAGCCCGGCTGTAACCACTATCCTTTTTTAAAAAAATAAGCCTCATTAGTTTTCTCCCTTTTACACTACTTAAAGGTGTTTTACATTTTTAGGAGTCCTGAGCTATTTTTAACAGTCAAAATTCTATACCACGTACATTCTGAGCAGCAAATCATGAACTAGGAAGTAACATATTGCAGCCTCAGACCTGACGTGTGTATTTGTTACTTATCAAACTTCTTCAGGTGATCGCACACTGAGCCTTCATGATCAAAACCAGCTGGCCTCTATGCTGAGCTGAAGCGAGCATGCTCTGAGGGCCTGTTCTGCTCAAAGAAATGTAAGAAAGAAAAAGGAAACACACCCTTTCTTCACTCTGGCAAAGTCAAATGCCATTTGTCTATAAGAGAAAGCCTTTTCATTCAAGTATCTACTGTAGCGCCTTATGAAGGTGGACATATCGTAACCTGGGGAAGAAGAAGAAGAGATAAATCAACAACATGCTTTAAATAGTGATTTGTACTGTACAAATGTTTAGCTCCCCAAGTTATCTATAGAGTTCTAGGAAGAAGTCAGTAACTGTATCAGCGGGCCTCACTGAAAAATCCTACTTTTGGGTGAAAATGCTTTTTGCATGGAGCTAAACTGATGATGAATTGATTTGGTATTGTCCTGTCCCCATTCAAACGTCTTGTCTGCTTTCCCCTGTACTTTTCTTGCTCGTTTCATGTAATAGCCTGTTATATTTAATGCATATCGCCATTTGATAGTGGTCTTACTGTGTGAGGTGCTTGCCTTGCAGTTACAACCCTATTACTCTACAAAGAGAATTTATGACTAGAAGTACTATTATTATTATCATTTTTACTGGCCATGGAATTTGAACTCAGGGCCTGGATGCTGTTCCTGAGCTTTATTGCCCAAGGCAAGGCTCTACCACTTTAAGCCACAGCGCCAGTTCTGTTTTTTTTGATGGTTAATTGGAAATAAGAGTCTCACAGATTTTCATGCCTGGGCTGGCTACAAACCACAATCTTCAAATCTCAACTGCCTGAGTAGGTAGGATTACAGGCATGAGGCCCAGCGAATGGAATTGTTTTTTAAAATAATTTGAATGGCATCAGGTATGGTGGCTCATGGCTGTAATCTTAGGTAACTGAGAAGCAGGGACTAGGGAATTGGGATTCAATGCCAGCCCAAGCAAAAACAACAACAAGAACAACAAAACCCCCCAAAAAGACCTCATCTCAGCAAAAAATATATGGTCAGGGTGACACGAATCTGTTACTCTAGCCACAAAGGAGTGTAAAAGAGAGAATCACAATCCAGGCCAACCTTGGCAAGGAAAGCAAAAATCTGTGAAAGCAATAGGGGCTGTTGCTGTAGCTCAAGTGATCAAGCACCCACCTGACAAGTATACATGCCAGGTCCTGAGTTTGAATTCCAGTATCACTGATATAAAATCGATGGCTTTTTAAATTCCATTGTCCACTGTATCTTCATAAACAAACTGTGGATCTAAGGAACACTGCTGCTTTCTTAGGTGGACATTTAAAATGGCAAAAGTAAATTTAATGTATGTTTTATATGCTGAGTTATCTGTACAATCAAATATTTTAAGGTTTCTTGTATATAGTATTTTATTAATCATCCAATGAACCTCTCAGTTGCAATGATTTTGGATTATTAATCACATGCAAAACTTAACAGTTTTAGCAATGTATGTATGTGTGTGCATACATATGCATGTCCATACATATTTATGAATGATAAAGCTCAGGGACAGCATCCAAGCCCTGAGTTCAAGTCCCATGTCTGACAATAATAATAATAATTCCAGTCATGTGTATACATACGTATGCAAATACGTATGCACACACATAATTTAAATAGTTCATGTATAATTTAAATATTCTTACCATGGGATCCACTTTTGTCCAAAAAGTTGCTGAGATTAAATAGTGTATTTCTAGAGGCCAAATACTGAATAAATCTCTGAAAAACAAATAATTAAAATTAAGCACCTGTATTCTCAAACATACTTCTGAGCCACTTCTGACTTTAAGGCAAACTTTATCGAGATTTCCATCGTGAGCCCTCTTGCCTAGCTATGGACTTCCTCTTTCTCTGATTATAACACTCAACACTACCAACTCAGCGAAAGCACATGCAAACTGGGGACCTTCAGTTTCATACACGACAGAGACACTGCACGTTCAACTGGAATCAGTAGGTATTCCATATAAAAGGAATGATTTTTATCAATATTTTCCAAAACTAAGTACTTTATGAAAGCAACTGTCTCTCAAAGGCACAAAGGACCATTTTCTATGAGGAAAACAGTCTCACCCTTTCTCCTTCCTTCAGGCTGTTGCTCACTAATAGGTTTGTACAGTATATGCATTTTAGGTACCGGTAATGATTAATAGCTCAATCTCTCTAAGACAAAGTCTAACTTAATGTATTTTTAAATAGGTAAATCAAGAATAAAATTACACCATGGATGATATGGAAGCACAGATTTCCCCCCTTCTTTTTTGGCTCATTAGTGAAAATTCAAAGGATCTTAAATCATCACCACATTCTTCGGTTTATGTCTCCCTCCTCCACCAAAAGAGATAGCAGAGTTGCCTCAGTTTACCTCATTTCCATGCACCATGAGATGATGTGTTGTCACCAAGGCTTTGAACACAACCACCCAGCTACTATTGGTTGCCCGCTCAAAGAGCGTGTCTGCCATCTGAGGGATATTAACATTGGTTTCGTTGGTTGCCTGGATCAAATCTGCAACAACAGAAGATCTTCATAAATCGTTATATTTTAAAAAAATCCCCCTCAAACATTAACCACTTAAACCTCTTTACTAAAATGTGACTTTGAAATCACTCAGAGAACGGTCAAGTAAAAAATTAAGCCAGGTGCCAGTGAATGATGCCTGAAATCTAGCTACTCAGAAGGTTGAAAGCTGGAGAATCAAGGTTAAATTATAGCCTGGGCAGAAAAGTCCATGAGGCTCCATCACCAATTAACCAGCAAAAACGTTGGACTGCAGGCCTGGTTCAAGTGACAGAGCACCAGACCTGACCAAAAAAGTTGACTGAGTGTATGAGATCTTGAGTTCAGGCCCCAGAAACAGCAAACACACAAAAAATAAGCAGTATCTTTATATATGGACATTTTTAGTATATTATTTAACTAATATATTTTTATTTTTTTGCAGGGACTTGAACTCATTGCATCAAACTTGCTGGCTGGCTTGCTCAGCTGATGCTCTATCACTTGAGCAATGCTTCCTGACAGTTTTTTTGTTCTGTTCTAGAGTTTTGGAGATGGAGTTTTGAGAACTTCTCTGCCCAGGTTGGCTTTCAACCTCTGTCCTTATTTTAGCTCCTGAGAGGGTTGTATAAGCCATCAGCTCTTGGCCTCACTATTAAAACTTGGTGTAAGAATAGCTTTTCAACTGAATTCTCTTCTACCTCTTCCTGAATTTTATATTTGCTAATATTGGTGCCTTTTTTGTGCAAATGATAAACTGCAGGAGAGCTAAGCCTCCTGCTCCAAGCACAATGTCTCAAATGTAGCTGTTTAGCCTAACTATACCACCATATGGGAGAAAAAAATAAACATATTTTTGAGACAGGTGTGCTTCCCTTGGATATTAATATTCAAATACGTTGGTAGATATAGTTTCTAGACTAGGAGCAAATAGTAAAAGAGAAAAACAACTCTGTACGCTCATCAAAGCTTTTGTAGAATACAAAGCCAGTGTTAAGTTCTGATAATTTTGACCTGAGTTTCTAAGACAGCAAAGCCTTCATAATACATTCATGGTCCGTATCTTCACATGAGTACAACTCCAGGTGATTGGGGTTTCATATAGTTCCAATAGGGCGTTCTCAGAGTTCAGAAGATGTGCTGAGTGTGCAATATGTTGTTAGCTGGTGCTCAGGAGCAGAAGCTGGGTCAAGCTGGGATGCGTGCAGAGCACAGCTGACTGCTTCAGAGCAGGAGGCCCCACTACCCACCAGAGACCCACAGGAGGCTCTGCAGCTCCCCCCACCCCCCACCCCGGCTCAAACTCACTCTCTCTCACACACACACATCCACTAGTAACGTGCGAGCTGCACACCTGATCCATGCGTTTCTCTATTTCACAACGATGAGCTAGCACTCAAGCAATTTTTAGTGCTTGGACTGAAGGCTAGGTATCATTGTTCTGAACCAAACCAGGCTTATACTTCTGATTGGTATGTACTTCAAAATTGCAGTCATCATCCTTATCCTGACTATAACACTAATTCCCCCCATACAATATGTTCCCCATCATTTTTCTTTTTTTTTTTTTTTTTTTTTGCATTCCTTATGTCCTTCAGCCAGCATTCCCTGATCCTTTCCAAGCCTCACCTGACTCCCTGCACTTGGAAATCGTTTCACTACTGGTTCTGACTAATGCACAAGCACCACACCCAAACACCTAGAAGATGGAAACGCATGCCAGCGCTTGTCTCCTGGGCAGTGACCCCAAAGCCCGCACACCATAAGTGCTTACTGAGCAAATGAACACGAAGCACACTTCACCCAGAGACATAAGCAGGCTTTGGAAACAGAGAAATCTCTGTGTCATCATACTGTTGCTAACATGATACTGTGGCACTGTATTTGATTTGAAATTCTGTGCCAGTCCCAAACTCTTCTGTTCTCTTGTTTATTGAACTCCAAGGTGAAGATATAGGGGAGATGAGAGAGGCTCAGACAACACTAAAATCTCTCCGGGAGACAAGAGGAGAAAAGCAACACAGTAGAGCAGAAAGCCCAGACCAGAACCCAGCGCAGCCCTGACCAGATGAGTAATTCCAGGTAGATTATTTGATGTCTTTGCCTCAAGCATCATTTTTAAAATGGGTAACAATTACTACCTTTCAGAATGCTACCAAGACCACAAACTATCTGTAAGTGCTCAAAATAACTTTTTGTAAGTTCTGTTGCAGGCATATTACATTTTGAGAATTTAGGGTGAGGGTGGTATTAGGAAATTTTGATTGGGACCCTGAAGTAATCTATAAAATAGGGCAGGAGTGAGGACTTTTCTTGGGAGTGGTACTGGGGATCGAACTCAGGACCTTGTACTTGGTAAAAAAAAAAAAAAAGTGCTGTACCAGTTGAGCCGTGTCCTAGTTTGTCAGGTAAGGTTTCTTGCTGACGTTGCACAGGGTGGCTTTGAACCCATGTTCTCCTTCTTCTACTTTCCAAACAGCTGGGATCACAGGCACCCAATACCACATCAGGGCTGGCAAGAACATTTTAAAAACAAAAACAGATGCATGCAAAGAATGGATCCTTAAGAGGCGTGTGTTTGGAGAGCCGTGGTGGTTGGTGAGGAATGGGTGGGAGAATGGCCAGTGAGGACTGTCCATGTCACACTGAAGAATGTCACTTCCTCCTATGGACAAGGGAGCCCATTTTAGTCTTTTAGGAAAAAATTACCAAGTAGATTTGTCTTTTTGCCAGGCACCAGCAGCTGGTGCCTGTAATCCTAGCTACTCAGGAGGCTGAGATGTGAGAATCGCAGCTCGATGCCAGCCTGGGCAGGAAAGTCTGTGAGACTCTTATCTTCAATTAACCACTAAAAAACCGAGTGGTGCTGTGGCTTAAGTGGTAGAGTGCTAGCTTTGAGTAAAAGCACTCAGGGACAGGGCCCAGGCCCTGAGTTCTACTCTATGACCAACTTAAAAAAAAAAAAAGAAAAAGATTTGGCTTTTACAGTCAACTACCTTATAAAATGGTACTAAACACAATTGGCAAGACACAGCAGAAGCACAAGTCAAGAACCATCGATCTCTGCATGAAAAGTATACCAGAAGATAGAAAGACAGGAAGCCAGGCAGCCCAGCTGAGCTGAATTGAGCTGAGCTGAGCTGGAATGGGGAAGAGCAGCAGAGATTGCAAAGGAGAGACAGGAGATTTAGAGGAACTGGACTCACAGGTGGGCACGTGAACCTGAAATCTGCCAGCCGGATTTCTGCTTGGAGGCAGGGGTCCAGTCAATGCTATTTTCAGAAGTTGGCCTCAGGTGGACCTATACTATTTTAGAGATGATAAACTTCAAAGTGCTGTTGGAGATAGAAGTGGCGAGGTCTGATAGGGAAGCAGAAACGTGCTGAAGTGGAAACATTCTGAAGCATTTGGTCCATATACCAATCTGGGAGTTATCAGCAATCAAATGGGAACTGGAGTTATGAGGAGAGAGAGGTCACATAAGGAAAGAAGAAAAGTGTGTATCAGAGCAAAGCTAAGCAGGACCAGCATGGGTGATGAAAATGGAAGAAAGTGAATAAAAGAACAAAGTGATACAGAGAAGCCCAGAGAAGTGGAACAATGGATTAATTAAAGAGAACTTTAAGACGTTCAAGAAGAAATTCGAAGTCCCCAGAGCCAAACACTGCCCACAGTCCTGTTTGTCTGAAACAGAACCGACATGCCAGGCTGAACAGACTCGTGGAAGAGGAGGGGTCCAAGGGAAAGGCTGTGTGTTGTTTAAAGATGGGCGGTATTTAAGCATGTTTCAGGTCAAATAGAAAAGGTCACAAAGAGGGGAGGGCTAACGTCTGGAAAAATCTAGAGGCAGGATGCGCTGTAGAACCCAGGGCTTAGAGGTCGAGGCCACAGAATGAGGGTGGATAAGAAGGGTAGAGAGAGAAGCCATTATTCTTCTGAAAAAGAATGTCTTCCTGGAGGCAGTGAAGTGTGTTCATGCTACCAAACCTTCATCCTCAGTACGAGTTTTTCCTGGAGAGGAGACGGTCTCGCTGTCTACTCGGACTGGCCTGTACCCTCAGGCTCCAGGGATCCTCTCTCTGACCTGAGCCTCCCAAAGCAGCAGGGACTAGAAGTGTGAGTCACTTTACGGGGCTATCATCATCTTTATGTGACAGGCTGCCAAGCTACAGCTTGCTCAGAAAATCAGGCATGCTTCTTCTTTTCCTAATGTCTTCCTTGCGCACAGACAGCCATGTTTGCTCTGAGCCCAACTAAGCCCACACAGATGCAGTGACACAGCTAACACACCTCACCCCCCAAACTCGCTGCTTTCAGTTATTTTCCATGTAGCCCTTGAGTTTTGTGTAAATCAACCTTCAGTGATCCTCCTACTTCTCTACCTCAAGTGTCACCAGGATTACATGCACACACAGCTTTCTGATTCAGTGGAGTCTCCCTAACTTCTTTCCTTGGCTGGCCTCGTACTGCTATCCTCCAGATCTCTGCCTCCAGTGTAGGTGTGAGCCATTATACCTCGCTTTCCCAGCCGGAATTCTGAATGCAGTAAATATTTCATATAAACAAAAGCACTTTAGAGTCCCTCAATTACTTAAGAGTAGAAAGGAGTCCTGAGGCTGGTTTGTGAACTATAATTTTTTATACCTACATACAAACAGAAGAGCTCAGTTGTCGGCTATGCATACATTTATTTTGAGATGATTTAACCTAGAGATAGCATCCATTTATGTTCTCTCTAGAGCATATATTTTCTTTCCTTTTCCTTTTTCTTTTTCCTTTTGTTGGTTGTAGGGCCTGAACTCTAGGCCTGGGTACTATCCCTCAGCTCTTTAGCTCAAGGCTAGTGCCCTACCACTTGAGCCACAGTGCTGCTTCTGGCTTTTTCTGCTTATGTGGTGCTAAAGAATCAAACCTAGGGCCTCATGCATGCAAGGCAAGCACTCTACCACTGATCTACCTTCCCAGCCCCTAGAGTATACATTTTTCTCCTGCTCTACTTCCTCATCAAA